GGTAGGAGCTAGGAGACACACTAAGGATTGGGAGGTAAAAATGGCAGAACACAACAACGACATAAGGGGCCTGAGATTGAGATTGAACTGCCAGGGGAGTGAAAGGAGAGCGAGGTATAAGTAGGGTAAAAGCTAATAAGGAGCAGCTGGTGACAATCAGGGGATGTGAAGCAGGTATGGCAGATAGTGTAATCAGGGCCAAGGGAGCGAAACAGAGTGAGTGAAGTGAGAGAGGCAGGTGAAGCCGCACAAACCTGACACTTGCGGTCCATAGCAGTAGTGCTGCAATACCAGACAGTGATGCAGCTGGTCAGGATGCTCTCAATGATGTAGCTGTAGAAGTTGCAAAGGATCGTAGGCGACATGCCAAACCTCCTCAGCCTCCTCTGGAAGTACAGCCGCTGTTGGGCCTTCTTGACCAGCTGTGTGGTGTTAAGTGTCCAAGTGAGGTCCTCACGCCCAGGTACTTGAAGCTGCTCACCCTCTCCACTTTGAGCCCCCTGGATGAACAGTGGCTTATGAGATCACCTCTCCTTCCTCATATCCACTATCATTTCCTTTGCCTTGTCTGTGTTGAGGGTGAGATTATTGTCCTTGCACTATGACACCAGACCGGCCACCTCCCTCCTATAGGCTGGCTCCGTCCCCCTTCCACAGTTCTACTGTGAGGAAGAGCACAGATGTGTCTACAATTCAGTGAAAAACCTATGTAAAAGGAGTGAAAACTGTGGTCGTGAGGACGAGTTAGAGAAATTTTTTTTTTAGACAAATCCAACAGCCTCACCGCTCTAGGTGTGATATCACCACTACAGCCCCTGACTCTCTCTTCATAGAGACCAATGTACATTATTTCTCATTTTCAACCATTTTAACAAAGATTCAAACAAATTTTAATCTTTTGAAAAGTACAAATGAAAGTTAAAAGTTTAATCTACAGTAGATCAACCTCATCATCTGTGAGCCATGGGCATCCATGACCCTGTCTTCAGTTCACCATTTGTCCTTCCTTAGACACTGTTGGTAGGTACTAACCACTGCAGACCAAGAACACCCACCAAGACCTGCAGTGTGGGAGATGCTCTGACCCAGTCATCTCACCATCACAGTTTGGCCCTTGTCAAAGTCACTCAGATCCCTACACTTGCCCATTTTTCCTGCTTCCAACACATCAACTTTGAGGACTGAATGTTCACTTGCTGCCTAATATACCTCACACACTGACAGGTGCCACTGTAACAGACAGTCAGTGTTATTCACTTCACCTGCCATTGGTCATAATGTTATGGCTAATATCTCTGTCCAGTGTTCTCCAACATTCACACTTAAACTGTGGGTCCTGGTCGTGTTTTACAGGACTGTGCTGAGGAGCTCAAGGATGTCCTCACGGACATCTTTAACATCTCTCTGAGCCAAGTGGTTGTTCCTATATGTTTCAAGGCTGCCACAATAATTCCAATTCCAAAGAAGCCCCACCCAACCATTTACAATGACTATCGGCCTGTAGCACTGACTTCAATTATTATGAAGTGCTTCGAGCAGCTGGTCATGCAGAACATCAAGTCAGTTCTTCCTCCATCTCATGACCCATTTCAGTTTGCATACAGGTCAAACAGGTCTACAGAGGATGCCATTACTGCTGTTCTCCATCCAGCCCTCACCCACCTAGAATCAAAGAACTCTTACATGTGAATGCTGTTCCTAGACTTCAGTTCAGCATTCAACACAATCATTCCCCAGCAGCTTACACAAAAACATGGACACTTGAGACTCAAAACCTCTCTCTGCAACTGGGTGCTGGACTTTCTAACAGGGAGGCCATAAAATGTGTGGGTTGGCAGCAACATCTCCAAGACCATCACGCTGAGCACAGGGGTTCCACAGGGGTGTGTGCTCAGCCCATTGCTCCTCACACTGCTGCCCATTGCTCCTCACACTGCTGACCCACAACTGTGTGCCAACCTACAGCACCAACCACATCAAGTTTGTGGATGACACAACTGTAGTTGGCCTCATTACCAACAATGATGAGGCCAACTACAGGAGTGAGGTGTGCCAACTGGTACAGTGGTGTAAGGACAACAACCTCTTCATCAATGTGGGAAAGACTAAAGAGATCATTGTGGACTTCAGGAGAAAACCTCTAAAGCATCCACCACTGACCATCGACAGTACTGTAGTGTAGAGAGTGAGCAGTACCAAGTTCCTGGGGGTGCACATCTCTGAGAACCTCTCCTGGACCAACAACACCACATCACTGACCAAGAAAGCTCAAACATGCCTCTACTTCCTCCGCAAACTGAGGAGAGCCAGTGTCCCACCCCATATGCTACCGGGGCACCATTGAGAGCATCATCACTGGCTGCATCACTGTGTGGTACAGAGCCCATACTGCCTCCTGCAGAAGGACCCTGCAATGCATAGTGAAAACAGCCAGCAAGATCATTGGCGCCCCTCTGCCTTCCCTCACAGACATCTTTAACACCCGCAGAACCATTAGCATTGCTGATGACACCTCCCACCCCGCACACTCCCACTTCAGACTCCTGACTTCAGGGAGAAGGTATCAGAGTCTTCAGGCCCACTCCACCAGACCTACGAACAGCTTCATCCACATAACATAAAATTGCAGGGGTTAAGACAGTGCTAACAGATAAGCAAACTAATACAGGAAGCACACAACATACCAAAAGGTTGGTTAACTAGGAGTCCATGCAAAAAGACAAGGCATAAGTGGCAGAGTCTAGTGAAGAAACAGGAGATGGTGAAACGGAAGAAATGGAAAGTCTGTGATGGAAAAACACAGGCAAGGTAAAATTGGTTAAGGAGGTAAAGGAGCAAGCTGTGGGTGGAGATGGCTAGTCTTTTAAACTAACTAGTGATAATACTGATGGAAAACTGGTGTGTAAAGGAAAACAGGTGTGAATAATTGGAACAGAATGGGGCAAATAAAGTGAAAAACAAAAACCAAGATAGGGGCAAAAGTATATAAAAGTAAAAGCTGAAAACAAGTAGTTAGGGATCATGACAATTAGTGCTTTAGTGGACCCTTCACTTGTGTTGAGCTAATAAGTTTGTGAAAGGAACACGCCTTATTATGAAAGCACAGTAATAAAAATTAATCTGCCACACTTTAAGTTAAATTCATTATTGGCCAAATAATGGAGGAAACATAATGGTAATTTGAATGCAGTTTTTATCAATCTATTTATAATTGCTTTTTAATTGAGTTTATTACTCAAATGTAATTTAATATTGTAAACATCTATAAATACTCCATCAGAAGATTCCAGGCTCCACAGTATGTCATTTACAAAACTATGTAATTATTTCAAAGCACAATAAAAGCAGACCATTAAATGTTGCCTATGGATATGGCTTGAAAAAGAGTGCCCTATGATCTAAAATCTAAAATTCAAAGCTGTGGAAAAGTAGGTTAGTAATTTATGAGATATGGTATAGACAGGGCTTGGTCTTTCCACAGAACACAAATTATTGTTAGGCTAAAGGAGGTGTAGAGTTAAACATTCACTTGGGTTATCTTCCACGGCCTGCCTACTTTACGGCTGACTGATAGTAGCTTCCCTCTCACAATGTGGTTTGGATTAGCAAATAGGAATAATTCCACAGACATAAATACACAATATGATGACTGTGACATACTCTCCACATCCAAGCTAAATAGCCTACCCTATGTCTCTACTACTATAAGCTCCTTGCAATAAATACTTAAAATCAAAGAAAATTTTACATCTTTCCATTTTAACTACTGGACCTACAATTGTTTTATCATTCACCAGCTATATAGCCTTTGAAGCTCTGACAGCGGTCTTAAACCAAAGTCTCATGGGGGTGTAGTCATGTAATAATTAAAAATGATCCCTCCTCCTGAGTGTGACTTTAGAACAATCACAGTGAACTTTTACAATGCAGCCTCCTACACACCGTGCAGGGTGCATATGATTCGTTATTGTTCTTCTGAGGTTTGGCTGCTCAACACAGTCATGGAAAAAGGTGCAAGACCCAACTGGGACAACCCCATGCAATTTTTGCTGGCATGTATATCATATGCAGTTGGACTTGGAAACGTGTGGAGGTTTCCATACCTCTGTCAAATGCACGGTGGAGGTAAGTCATACACCAAAACAAACAAACAAGAGCACTCAGAGAGCACATAAAATGGTGCAACATTCGCTCACACAAATGGGTCCTTTGTGAAAAATTAGATCCAGAACAACACAAAATGTGTCCTAGAATCCTTGATCCAGATTGGCTCCGGATAATCTCTTAGGATATTATAGGCAGTTATACTGTGCATCTTACCTGAACATTTCAGGGTTCTATCTTCATTACATTCAGTTATGGCAGAAAATATGCATTAAATGAGTTGTTTAATGGTAAATTTATATGGCTGTCAGATCTGGAATCTGGATCAGATCCAGATGAAAATTGGTCTGGTGATAGACATTACCACCCTACATATGGGTGTTCAATTTCAAACAAAAAATGATTTTGATAACTTTTGACAGATATAATTTTTTAAAATGTTGCCCCTTGTTAAAGATGGGATTTTTTCTGACCTTGACCTTTTTTCAGCCAATGTATATAAGCACTTCTAGAGTTGTCTGTACCAAGTATGTCCATAATCCTGCTAACCAACACACACAGACACTGAACCAAAAACACAACCTCCTTGGTGGAGGTAAATATTGTTTTTATGAAGAAAAAAAAATCAAACAAACAAACTGGGAGCTGTGGCTGTGGTGAACCCAATTAAAGAGCCAGTAGGCAGAGGCAAGGTGGACAGAGTTTATTACTTTCTCCAGGAAACTCAGGCGAGGGACAGGCAGCATCAGAATAGAACAGTTCACAGTCTCGGAGGATCAGGCAAAGAGCAAGTCACTTGGTCCAGTCCACGGTCAAGGTACATAGCAGTCCAAACAGGTTAGGGCAGGGTCTTGATCTCAGAGTAGTAGGCCTTAGCAGATAAATGGCTGGAGAATCTAGACAAGGCATAGAACAATCTGGCAGCTTCCCACTAGGTGGGAAGCTGCTATATGCTGTCATAAACAGGTGTGAATAATCAGGGAGCAGGTGAAACCAATGTGAGTGATGACGTAAAGCTCCTGAAAGCCAGGGTGAGCTGGGGACAGGAAGTGGTGTTAAAGTAGAAGTGGAATACCAGAAACCAAGGACCAGGGATCATGACAGTTTTGGCATAAAGTCTTCATCAGGGTCTGTCAAGGCTTCATGCTCAAACATGTTGGTCTTCTCAATAACGTTGCCTAAAACACTGCAAGTGTTGCTAGACTTTTTTTTTCCAGTTTGTTTGTTTTTTTGTTGTCTGTGCACCATGACAGTGGGTGAAGTTGTGCCAACACTTTCTGTTGTATCTGAATTAGCATGAACATGCTGCTATTAAATAAGTTTTTTTCAGTAAGATTTAAATCTGTGTATTGTTTATTTTTTTGCAAAAACCACAAAGCAAAAATAGAAAATCTTTTTTGTTTGTGTGACATTATGGTAAATCCAAGGAATGCAGGGAAATAAGGATGCACCAGTGCATAATTTCATCATACTGCATTTTTGCTATGGCCTGTCTTACATTTCCAGCCACAGGATGACTACTCATAGGTTATTATTCTTTGATAGGTTATATGAGTTAAAATTATACCATTTTAAAACACATAAGCTACTCTGTTGATTGAAGAAATCACTGCCATTTCTAATTCAGTGTCAGAAATCCTTCTACTAAGGTTGTGCTTCAGTAAAACATGGCGCCCATTGAGGCCGACGTGTTTGCTTGTTCCACTGTTGAATGCCGGCTTTTTTTCATTTTTGTGTGTTTTTCGCTTTTTGTGCAGTGCACAATTGTCATGCACTGCTAACATACAACAGACAGGCATTGCTGGACATCACTAATCACAGCCCTCTGGAATTCAGTGGTTTTATTCCACCGGAGCTACGACTAATTGTCCACTTTTGTGGAAACCACCATCACCCCCAGGAAGGCCCCAAAGTACCGAACTCAAGTGAGCAGTTGAGTCCTGACACCAGGACAGCGACCCGGAGACGGAGACAAAAGTGCGGCAAGAGGAGAGGGCTTCGTGCTAGGCTAAAAGCTCATGCTAGCTGACTACCATTATTCAGCCTCTTGCTAGCTAACGTGTGGTCTCTAGAAAACAAACTGGACAAGCTAAGAGCCAGGATTACAACACAGCAGGAAATAAGAGAGTGCTGCGCTCTCGTTTTCACTGAGACCTGGCTGTCAGACAGTGTCCCAGAATCCGCCATTGAGCTACAGACACCCTGTACACCAAGGAGACCAGAAGGCCAAAGGTGGAGATATGTGTGTGCTTATCAACAACTCATGGTGTGGAGATGTACAGACTGTCTATAAGCAGTGTTTGCCAGATATGGAGTTTTTATTGCTGAAATGCCGTCCCTATTATGTATCAAGAGAATTTAGCTGTGTGTTTGTGGCTGAAATATGCATAGCTCCAACAGCTAATTCCATGGCGGCTCTTGGCAAACTCCATGATGTCATCAATGTGCTAGAGACAGTTCACCCCAATGCTGTATTTATCGCCGCAGGCAACTTTAACCAGTGCAATCTATGGACTGTATTCCCCAAATATTACCAACGTGTGGACATTCCGACCTGGGACAAGAACACACTGGATCATGTTTACAGTAACATATGTGGTGCATACAGGGCTGCGCCCCGCCCCCACTTTTGATGCTCGGACCACATTTTTTTATTTCTGTATCCAACTTACAGACAAAGACTGAAACAAACAAACCCTGTCACCAAACAAATTAAACACCCCAGAGACTGAAGGCACCCTGCAGGACTTTTACTCGGACAGACTGGGATGTGTTTAAAGCTGCTTGGAGGAATTTCTGTTGGCATACAGGACTATGCTGAGTATGTGACTGGGTACATCGGCACTTGTGTTGACAACATCGTGCCCACTGTACAAGTCAGGAGGCTCCCCAACCAGAAGCCCTGGATAAATAGTCAGGTACGCCATATGCTGGGTGCTCGCTCTCTTGCATTCAGTTCAGGCAATGAGATGGAGTACAAAGCTGCAAAGTACAAACTGAGTAAAGCCATCACAGCAGCCAAGAGGCAGTACAGAGAGAAGTTGAATGGCTTCTATTCTACTGCTGACTCTGAACGAATGTGGCAAGGCCTGCAGCACATCACAGACTACAGGACCACCACAAGCAATCATCAGCTCCACAGACAGCCTGCCAGATGACCTCAACACCTTCTACACCCGCTTTGAGACCTCCAACCACAGCACAGAGAGGAGGCACGCACACACCGAGACCACCCAACCCCCCTCCCCTCCATTAATTGTCTCATCAGGCCAGGTACGCACAGTCCTGAGGAAGATCTACCCTCGCAAGGCAGCAGGATCAGACAACATCCCTGGGTGGACTCTAAGAGCATGTGCCAATGAACTGGCTGATGTTTTCACCTCCATCTTCAACCTCTCCCTCAGCCAGAGCATCATTCTCTCCTGCCTTAAGACCACAACCATCGTCCCCCTTCCCAAAAAGAGCCTGGTCACCTGCCTGAACGACTACAGGCCAGTGGCACTCACCCCAATCATTATAAAATGTTTTGAGAGAGTGGTGCTGGCCCACATTCAGAGCAGTATATACCAGACACCCTGGATCCCCTGCAGTATGCCTACCGGCCCAACAGGGCCACCTCAGATGCTATCGTGGCTGCCCTTCATTATTCCCTTTCTCACCTGGAAAATAGAGACTCCTACATCAGGATACTCTTCATTGACTACAGCTCCACCTTCAACACAGTTCAAGACTGGCAATAGGACCTCAGCCACGAACACCGGCACCCCACAGGGATGTATCCTCAGTCCTATCCTCTACCCCCTGTTCATGCATGACTGTGTCACCTCCCACAAGGACAACATTGTCCTTTAGTTTGCAGACAACGAAACAAACAAACAACCCCCCCCCAAAAAAAAATCCTAGATTCTCTGTTTTCCTGTTTTGGTTTTAAAAGACAAAAAAACCCACACTTCTTTACAATCCTGTTTTGAGATGGAAAAATAAAAAAATGAATAATACATGTACAGATTACACAGCTTTTGCCACAAACTCAACTGTATGATTTCATGAGTCTCTTCAGACCTTATAGCTATGATTAAACTATTTGTGAGCTTATAACTTGTAACTGAAGCTGTATGTGAACACATATACTATTTTCACCCTCAATGCCCCATACCAGATGGTGACATCATCTGGCAAGGGCATTGCATTGACCAATCATGTATGGGGATGACTGGGGGGATTGTTTACCTTGGCCGTATCATAACCCTAGCAGACCGCCGTCACCGGCCGGCACCCCTCCTACAGCCTAAGCCAGGTGTGGTTGTCATCAGAGCACATCCCATTGAAGGTGGACTCATGGAAGCTGGCCCCTTGCTTCCTGGGTCCCTTCAAGATTGAAAGGGTCCTACATCCCATGGTGGTGTGCCTGCGGCTGCCCAGCTCTCTCTGGATCCACCTGACATTCCATGTCTCCCAGCTGAAATCAGTCTCCACCAGCCTGCTGAGAACTTTAAGTCTAAAGAGTCTTTTGTCCATCCGTTGTGCCATTGACTTGTCTATCTCTGTCTATCTTGTGTTTTCTATTCTTTTGCATGCATTCCATATTTTCCTCTTTGTTAATGCTTTTGTCATATTTTCTTTTATATATTAAAAAAATTCCCCACTCGCCCCCACTTTGGGGCGGTCTTGTATGCCTTCCTTCAAACTCTGGTCCTCTACCAAAGGCCTGGGAGCTTGAGGGTCCTGTGCTAGCTGTTCCTAGCACTGCAATCTTCTACACAGAGACCTCAGATGTTGTTCCTGCGATCTGTTGGATCTCTCCCAGTTTGGGGGTCACAGCCCCCAATGTTCCTATTACCACAAGGGCCACTTGTGTCTTCACCTTCCACATTTTTTCTAGCTCTTCTTTCAGCCCTTGGTATTTCTCGAGCTTCTCGTGTCCCTTCTTCCTGATGTTGCTATCGCTTGGGATTGCTAAATCTATCACTACGGCCTTCTTCTTATGTTTGTCTGCCACTACTATGTCCGGTTGGTTGGCC